TGCTACTGCTGCGGCTACTGCTACTGCTGCGGCTACTGCTACGGCTGTTGCTACTACTACTACGACGACGACGACTACTACTACTATGTCCATGTAACTACTATGACGACGACTACTGTTGCCAGTGCTACTGCTAGTGCTGCTACGGCATCCTCACATGCATCAGGAGGAGATTGGAGCTGGCGCTGGTTCGGTGGTCCGGTAGGTGCGTGGCTAATTTAAGCACGAGGCCAGTGCAACCGTCCTCTGATGACCGAGGACCGGCGTTTGGCGCGAGTTCTCCTTGCTGGGACTTTCTGCCTCGCCACTCAGACTTAAGCAAACCCAGCAGGTTTCAGATGTACCCAAGCCATTCTTCGGAATTCGTGTGACAATGTTAAAGAGGTGAAACTGGCTTGCAGTCAGATGCGATTCATCCAAGCAGTGGAATAGCCGTAGGTGAGATGTATGCACGGACCCACACTGTTGAGCAGGTTGGATGACATGGCGAGACGAAGCTGTCCAAAGACGACTGAGCTTCTAGAGGAGGCAAAGACCCTTCCAGAAGCTTTGCTGTAGTTTCTTATAAGCCGGTTAAGCGACTATGGTTCCACCACCATTGGAGTTACTGCCATCGCTGGAAACATGATAACGATTTCTATGTTTCTGGGTATGTCAGGCGTCATGTGCGAGCTTCAGCCCACCCGGTAATTAGAACTAAACCCTGCGGACGCCCGAAGCCCTACATCGAAAGTGTATCACCTGGAGGTGGAGGCCGTTCGCAGCCACCGGGACCTCTGTCAGGGCGAGGAGACGGCGCTCTTCTCCCGTCACCCGGGTCGAACTTTTGTTGAGCTTTGAGGCTTGGGGTGCGAAGGTGGTCAACCACGCTTTATGGAGTTTGGGTTGTTCGGGTTAAAGAATTATGCTATCACTGATGGCTTGATGAAGATCGTGCAAGGTGGTAGTTGAACTGCTTGAATGTCTGCACGATGCTTTCTTGCAGACATTGCCATGCACTGTCCATATCAAAGCATTCTAGGACCCATGAGGATCCACTTGGGACTTCAATGTGCCTGCGTGTCCGCAAGAGCAAGTGAGACGGAGCCTGCTCCTGCGAGATTTGCCAAGTCGATGGAAGTCGCTGAGTCAAGGGCATTGTGTCATTGCAGCTTGTTCTTGGCACGTGCCCATATGGTGCATAGCGGTATGCTATAGTGCGACGTAGTATGGACACCCTCGGGTGGGTCTTGTTAAACATTTGTAAACTCTTGCCGTGCACGGTGTCTTCCTGATGCCGCAGCATCTAAAGGTAGTACACTGCAACCGATTACGATACATCACCGTCCACTGCATTCTGAGCTGCGCCGGCAGCTGCGGTAAGTCCTCAGCCTCACCAGGCCTGACGCCTGGCACGCAGCTCAAGCCGCATTGTGGGCCGAGCAACCTGCACCTGACCTGCCACCTCGGCCTGAAGGCTCCAGAGAAAGGGCGACGAAGCCGCTCTGTCTATATGCATAGTCAGGAGATACTTTAAGAAGTCATCTTGATCAGCTGCAGCTCAATCTTCCATGTCCTTCGCACCTCCCGCGATCCAAAGCAGCAGGTGCCACCAGGTTGCGCCATCCGGGTGGGCCATGAATGGCGCACCTGGGAGGAGGGTGCATGCCCGAGTGCAGGATTCTTTCCGAGGGCTTCAGGATGGCCGGTGCTCTGTGTTGAGCTTTGTCTGGATTCTCGAAGGGTCTTGATTACGGACCTTGCTGGAATCCAGGATCAAAGGCTGTGCTGCAGAGCGCAAGTTTTTCAGAGATCCGGTCTGTTCCGAACCCCTCAGGCTTAAGATTTTCGGGAGTAAGCTTACCTATCCACTGAGTCTCATCACCGCCAGCTACCATCCCAGAGCTTTCTGTTGCCAAAATCCTACACCCCGTTCAAGGCCCAATTCTCTCAAGGCCACGAAGCCCCAAAACCGAAACTCCTACACAGATGTGAAACCCCGACTGAGGCCGATGTTTGGTCTTCGATGACTCCTTCGAGCACGAGGAAACCGGGAGTGGAGGGTTCTGGGAGCCAGATCCTAAAGTCCTAAAGCCTTTAAAGCCTGTAGATCTTGGGGCCACAATAACAAGACCCTTGAGTTGATTTGCTTTAGTTATGCTTCTCATGGTCCTACGGTTGACAACAGTATTCCTCTCCTTATAGCTCGTTGTAGCTAGTGATGCTTGTCGCTCCTAGCCCGAAGGACCACAATCAAATAGTATGCAACCTCCATCTGCAGCCGTTGAATGCCTCCGTCCTGGCACCATGGACATCAGAATCACTGATACAGGCTGGCGTCGCTTCCTCCCATTCGAATCCCTGTTCTAGCATTGCTACCCTTGTTCATCTGATGCTGCACCAGGAACTTCGCAGGATGTCGGAAATTGTGTCATTAGCCGACATTGCGACGCAAGGGTGTGAAGATCCTGACGAGCCGCAATCCCCAAAAGCTCACGCTCAACCCCCCTTCCCAGATCTACAGCTGACCCTGAGCCCCGAAACCCCGGCAACTACCGGCCGAAGCCAAAGAAAGATGCATATATATATATATATGCTAGCCC